TCTCATGGTTCCCGCTCTTATCAAAACATACATAAATATTCAATACTACAAATTCCGTTTATAATTGATTACAAAATGCAGAAGAAAGTTCAAGAAAAAATTTTTTCACAATTCATAGAGACGCATGGGTCGTTATGTCCGACTTAGGTCTTGCAAAACAAAGACGTCTTTTCCCGATATTGAGGCCTAAATATAAAACATGCAAACAAAATATACACTTTCTAGACTTGATTTTCGTGTAGACAACTATCATATCTACATTTTAACAAAAAATTAAAAAAATAAAAAATGGGTTTTTTGAGAAAATCAATTTCAAAAATGGTACTTTTTGGCTTTTGCATAATATTAACGTAAACGTACCGCAAAGGATATTTCATACAGCCAAGACATTTTATAATAAATATAAAGAGCGTGTTTTGGGCTCTCCGTGGACATAAAAAATATCGGTGTAACTCAAGTAGATCGCCAGTAATTAATTGTCAAAGTTCGGCAACAATTGACCGAGGAGGCGTTTTTGACATTTTTACAGAAAAAAAGCAAAAGGCCTAAAATTAATTCATGGTATTGGAGCCTTTTAAATGTGTCCACAGAGTGCTTCAAAAAAGATAATATAATGTGGACTGAAAATCCATGGCGGGAGATCAAGCGAAACATCCGACCCACGACGGGTGTGAAAAACACTGCTTTTCGCCGCGGCCTCTTTAAAAATTCATAAGTCGAGAACAAAAAATCCGACGAACTTGCGGTTTGTGTCGACTGCGGTTTTAGAAACGGCGCCATGACATATATTTTTTTCATCGAAATTAAAAATTCGACCCTTTTTGCCTGCACGATTTGAGATGAAACCACCCATATATATATATATATATATATATATATATATATAATATCTTTTTCTAAGTTCCACAAATTGGTTTAAAAATATCGTGAAAGCTTTAACCATCTCACAAATGTGTGCAGTAAAACAAAAGGCACAGGCGCGTGAGCCTGTGCCTTTTGTTGTGTTATCTAACTTTTTAATTAGTGAAAATAAACAGATAATTCCAATCAGAATCTTGATTGGCGTAATTAAGTATTACTAAATCGGTACATTTTTGAAAGACCCGAAGCACGTGGGAGACACGGGGTTGCGCTGAAGTTTCCACTCGTGAAGCAGCTAAGCGGGAGACTGATGATGCAAAAACGCGGATAATATTCTTATTCGCGTTTCCTTAATTTCAGTTGCGACGTTGCGACTGAGATTTAAAACAAACATGGTGGATCAGAAGCGCATGGTGTGGGACGGGATTAAATTGTGAAACACATCTGCAAAACATCAACAAAAAATCACGCAATATAAGAACAAAAAAATGGTTCCACACCATTTTGTTTAGGAAAACGAATCATGCCTATTGATATGTATATCGCGGAACGATCGCAAATATGCTTTCAATTAGAGCATGGCACTTAGTCGATTTATTTATCGAATAATTGATTGATGCTTTAATCGCGATCAATTTTTTTAACCGGTTAATCGGTAAAATTTGTACGAACCAAAAAAAAAAAAAAAAAAAGTGAAAATTGAACGCTTTCACCTCGCAGACGTGAACGAGAACATTTTAGGAGGGTCACACTTTAGGTGCGATTTTCACCTAAAATAAACTGTATGTGGCAATATTTGTACCTCCAGACAAAATTAGGAGGTTACCTGCAGACATGTGCGTAACACATTGCTGGTAACGAGTAACGTCTACCTAGTTACTTCTTTCGGTAACGTGTAGCGGATTTTGGTGAAATCTAAATGAGAGAAGAACCTAAATGACGAGGACGGACAAGACGTCTCGTCCGTCCTCGTCTTTTATGTTCTTCCCTTATTTATATATTTGCCCCTACCAACACGCTCTTCATTCTAAGTATTTAGTTACTTTCTTAAGAAGTAACGAGTAAAGTACTTAGTTACATTTTGGGCCAAGTAACGTGTAGCGGTATTTTGTTACATTTGAAGAGTAACGTGTGCAACACCGTTTGAGCCTGGGACTCAAACCGTAACCGTAACCGAAAACCATTTAGAAATAAAAATTTTTTTCAGAAACCGTAAAACGAACGAAACCGTAATTTGAAATTTATGAAAACCGTAACCGTAACCGTGACTGCAAATTACGTACCGGTAACCGATACTAACCGGTATTAACCGAAAAATAAAAATATTAGTTTTTCCGCAAGAATGACCCCGAGAAGGTATCTTGAACTGTCGTGGCCACTGACCTCTCAATTTGCTCGATCGCGCATACCGCTTGGTGCGCTGCAGCCGCAAGTGCGACCACCGGACGACCATCTTGCATGTCAAAAATTACCTTTTTAGAGCGTTGTGGAGGCTGGCGGCAGCGAGCTGAAGATACGGTTTCTACTCATTCGTCATCATTCGCTGAAATTTTTTCTTTTTTTTTTTTTACTTTTCGTAAACAATGAGATTTGTTTTTGAGAGCCTGTAAACATTTTTACGAAAGAGCAGCGCCCCAGGAAAAAAGCACAGCCCGTTGAAAGCAAGTTTCGCCGGTCTCACAGCGTGATCAAAGCTTCCTTGGCACGCCGAAATGCTGCATCTCCGTGCCTTCGCACGCTTGGATACCGATCAAGGATCGACGCCATGTGTATGTATTTCGCGAATGCAATGTGCGGGAAGACGTATGTGCCTCGGGAGCAGCGTTTTACTGTACTCTAACGACTGTATTTGTAACTTGCGGCACTCGCGGTCCAGAAACGAGCTTGATCCACTGGCGACAAAAGAGGGGGACGAGGGTATGGCGGTGGGTTAGGCGACAAAATGTACACGACAAAATGGGTCGCGTTTCAAGAAATTTTCGATCTCGCCGTTTCATACTTTTGTGTTCGAAAACATACCTTGCTCCACAGCGTTGCTCTATTTGTGCTGCCATGTGATCCATTCGAGTATACATATAGACCATATTCATGGTTAATAGTACCTAATAGCAACCACGTGTTTTTTTTTCCATTATTGATGGCAACTTGCCGGAACAGCTGGACGATCCAGAACTTAATTCGTGGCCGATGTATGATGCAAAGACACGCGTGGCACAGCTTTAAAACCTTGCCGCGGTGTCGATTCTTGATCCGTATCCAAGCGTGCAAACGCAGCACTTCAGCGCAGCATTTCAGCGGAGACGCAGCACGTCAGCGTACCAAGGAAGCTTTGGTAACGCCGCGAGGCCGGCGGAACTTGCTTTCGACGAGCTGTGCCTTTTTTCTGCGGCGCTGCGCTTTCGTAGAACATTCCAAGTGTTCTGAAAGGCAAGTCTCACCGTTTAGGCAAGGTTTTAAAAAAGCTTCTTCGGTGAATGACAACGAAAGTGTAGAAATCGTGTTTTCAGCTCGCTGCCTAAATCCTCGGCAACGCTCCAAAAAGACGGTTTTTCGACATGAAAGATGGCCGTCCGGTGGCCGCACTCGCGGAGCGGGGAAGCGCAATCCAGCAAATGCAATAGACATTAGCGGTCGTGACCACTTGACAGAGTTTGCAGCAGCAAGTGGGGAATCTGGTAATATATTTCAGTTCAATATAAATTTTGGATTAAGAATACTTAGTTGGGATCAGTGGTCGAGCTTATAATGAAAAGTTTATAATCCTAAACCTGCCACACTCCTAATCGCAACACACTATGCATGGTATTCCAAGATAAACATAAGCAAGCAATGGCGGAACTTCCTGTGACCGAAATAACTTCCGGTTGACCAGCTTCTTGCGTATGTTTCAATGAGCAAGAATGAGCACGTGTGGCTCTTAAGTTTTTCTTGGCAGAACACAGAAAAAGATATGTCGAAAACCAAACGTAAGATAGATCGATCTGCACGTTATGGCGCCTAGAAAAAGTACCGCATCTCGTTTTATTTGGCCTCCGTGGCGAAAAGAAACTTATGTACACTAGAGCACTATATAGCTCCTTCGGAGCAGAGTAGCGTAGAGTGCCTTCATACACACGCGCGCTTTAAGAGTAGCGCATACTAGACCGCCATCTTTCAGCGACTACACTCTAAATGTGATTACTCATGACATGCGGCACAAAAGTGCATCTTTTGTGCCGCTTGATTTATGCGTAATTATGGTACTCATGCGAACGTTACTCATCCCATGAGTAGCAGGACGTTACCCATCCCATGAACAAAAACGGTTTCCTATGTTTAAAACCTCCTCACCACTCCCCCCCCCCCCCCCCCCCTACGTGCGAGGGGGACCAGTGAAAGAGTGGCGAGAAAATTTTCCCGCCTTTGAATGTTTCTTGCAGGCCTGGATTTAAGAGCAGCGCTGATCCCCGAGCTCTTGTGACGGTGCTACTGGGTTCGGCATGCTGTCAGCTTGCCCACCGGACCTGGGAATTAATATACCTATCATTTAAAGATGACGCGTGATCCTCAACCGCAATGATGACGAAATTCTTATAGCTTGCTCTCCAAATAAACTGGAAATGGGGACGCAGCAAGTTGCCTGGCGGTTCGATGGCAACTTTATAGTGAATGCAGAGCAGCGGGATGAAATCTATTCGCCAACAACCTCCCAGGTGCCAGACCGGCTTGCTGGAAGGGCAAAAATAACTGTTTGGCATGACAGAAGCAATACTCAACTTGAAAGAACTTTATTCCAAACAAATTTTATCACATCTCGGGATGATATGCTTGTCGCAATTTCTAACTTAGAACTACACCCTATTTTACTCAAACGAACTTTGAAATAAAAGTACTAGAAAATTTTGCAAAGGAGGAAGATCTGTACTCTTGTCAAGAACCAGAATAGCGCTCAATTTGTTAAGCTACTTCAAATACTGTTTGCAAGCACTTACCAGGGAGCAGAGGCGAGCTGATTGGTAACCTCTGTCGAACCTTGACCCCCGTTTTACAATGAATGTTTGCAAAAAACCTAAAAGCTGCCCATAGGAAGATGGATAGCTCAAGTTCAAAATATAATAAACACCCAGCAGAAGGTCAGACGCCTTGAGGTCGGAGCAGGTGCTTGGTAAGTTGACCACCTGAGGACTGCTTCCGGGACAGAGAATACCCTTTGTTTTGGACCCCAGAAAGGCTTTCGGTCCTGGGCATCCTCCCTCAACTGTCGGAACGTCTTCCTGGAAACAAAGTGCCCAAAGCTCTAATAAAATAGCTGCTACCCATCTTCACGCTCTCACTCTATAGCTGCGCTCAGCGTCAATGTGGGCTTAAATTTAATTATTTTGATTCGAAGTCAGTTAAAGAGCATTGCTTTTTGGGTAGTCAAATGGCCGAGTTATGGGCGGTATTATCACTGAGCAAAAAGCAAAATGTCAGTATGATAGCTTTGAACCCACAGTCTTAAAAAGTATCTACGCGACTATACTTCCCTGCCGAGCACTGGGTAAGTCTATTACCGTGGTCCATGAAAGACATCTGACGAATGACAATGCCGCAGGTATGCCTAGACATAAAAATGATGTCTCTCATGGGAGACTGAGCATGACTGGACAGGTAAATGGTCGTGCTCAGTATCCCAATGCACACTTCATTTTCACGCTAAGCATATTTGCGATCTTTTGATTCATTGAATTCATTTCGTACATCACGCTGGTTTGTCCACCGAGCACTCTGCGGGAATGTAGTCGCGCAGCTATTTTTAAAACGCAACGAGGATTGTATTAAATTTCATGTCAATGCAAGCTCCCATAAAAAATGCTTGTTCCTAATACCGTGTTTCTAACATGGCCATTACATGAAGCGTTTATCTTATTAGTAAATTTGACTGACCGTGCTCAAAGCATCATCGCGGGATGATCTTGACCGCAGAAAGGCTTGAACGTCCATCAGTGTTGCTTGGCGTATCCCGTGATCCTTGCCGAAGCCCTCCAGTATGCTGGTGCACACGCCTTTCATGCTTGTAAAACTCATGGCGAAGTGCAGCTCGCATTCTGCCAGCAGCTATCCAAGAGAGTAGACAAAGTTCATTCTTACGGTAAACATAGTCAACAGTGCTTTAAAAAGAGCAGCCTGTATGATTTGGTCGGCGTGCGTACTAGAATGAAATACAAAATGCTCACTTACGCATTCAGCATTCAAGAAGTAGACTGGAAGTTTGTCCAAAACGGTGCCTTTCCTCTCTTCAAATGTCACTTTGAGGAGCTTGACTACATATGGCACATTTACTGAGGCTGGGCACTTGACAGCAGAGTCGATGGACTGAAAGAGGGAGGGGGGTGTGAGGCATTGAATGCTGGAATGCACATAAGAGAGCCAGAAGACAAATTTACCTCCAGTTCCTTGAGAGCATCTGGGGTGGACTGCTGCGCTAGAGTGTCTATATCATACTGATCCGCTCCATTGTTTGCCTGCGCCTTGTCTTTTTTTTTCTCGTGCGTACCTCATCTTTCGCCTCGCTGTTAACCGGCACATGAATACACTCTGCCAGAAGTCAAAACAGATGTTTTAGGAACCCTCCCTGATACCATTCGAAGCACGGGGCAGTGGTAATTGAACAGTTGAAAATGTATTTACCCAGAGACGTCTCGTTGAGAGCTTGGTCCCAGGTTTCGGTCGGTCCCAAAGCATGTCCGGGTATTTTTGTGCCAAAGTTGACCCAAGCAATGAATATTGCACTCTTCTAAGTGCCGTATTGGCCTCCTTAACGAGACTGTTTTCACTCTACGAAAAGAAGTGCAGCAAAACTAGAACACTTTTCTTTAACAGCTTTGCAATATCAAACTTGTAACCAATAAATACGGCGCATGAATCCGGTGATCAATAATTTCGGTGATCGATACATACGGAAATACAGCAAATGAATTATTTCTTCATCACCCACCCCCCTTCCCCCTTGCTCAAGAATTATTTGCCCTTTTCCTACGCTCGAAGAAACGCTTGAAAAGACAACGGAGTTCGGACACTGCTGACATACAACATAATGTGAATGCTGAACTCAACCACACCCCACAGGCTGCCTTCACTCAAAGTATGCGAGGCACGCGTTGCCAGAAATCCGCAACCATGGGGAAAATTATTTTGAAGGACTAAAGCTGTATTCCTGCATATATGCACTGCCTCTCCTGCAAATAAATAGATATTCGTATTTATCAGTCACAGGTTGTATATGAAAGAGTGGTTTCATCGCAAACCAAACGCTATCCTTGAATCAAGTTTCTCTCATTCTACTCAAGTTTTTTGTTTTCATTAATGTAATGGAAGGAGGTACTTGGAATAAGTCAGGAAATTATCCCGTTTGCTTAAGATTACTTTCGAATTTCGATATCTGCAAGCCGCTCAGGATTCACTCTCTTAACCAAATGAAAAATTAAGTACGTGGAATGGTTCTGCACAGAGCTATAAGCATTGGATATTATACACATATCAAGGGATAAGCTGAAACCTAATATTTTTTTTTATTCAGTCCCTGTTTGATGTTTACGCCATTCGTATATGTTTGGCTATTTGTTGTGGTCGTGTATCAAAAACCTCAACGAACATAAAAATATTTTAGGCCTCATTTCAAGGAGTTATTAAGAATGAAAGAATGGAGTTATTAATTTTGTTGAAAACTGAGTGTGACGAATAAGAGCCGGGAACATTCACAGGATATAATACAAACCAGGCCTGATTAGAGCGATACACGGAGCAACATATTTTCTATAAAATTTAGTGGTGCAAAAATAGTAGAGCTGGCCGAAAAAAAGGTATAAAATAAAGCGAAGTTTTAAAAAAGGCGATGTGGAGTTACTCAATACTTTAGTTTTCATAACAGGATCAGATGTATTGAAAAGAAAAAGGCTTATACAAGATTAAATTTAAAAAGTTTCCAGACAGAGCAATTATTAACCTATATCATTTAGGCCATTGCTACGTCACGCTAGCAAGCCGCCGGTAGACGACGAAGCACGCTGGCTGCACCGAGGCGCCGGACTATAGACTGCTTGGCTTTCGCCAGCGTGTCGTGACGATGCCGACGGAGCGCGCTGAGTCGGCTCTTGGCGCTGCGTAGGCACGACAGATCAAGAAGCTTGAGCTCTAACCAAAACCAGCCAAAAGAATAGCGAAACAGATGAGGCGAAAGCGTCGTCACTGAGCTCGAAAAGCCACTCGTGCTCCTAATGGAAATAAGTACATCGGGAGCGCACTCGGGTTTCGTTCGCCGAAGGTGCTCCTGTCCGCTCAGTGAATCGTGCGCCGGCCGAACGCGCGCGCTCCGGGACAGAGTCTGAGCGCAGCAACGTGAGACGCGGTCAAGACCAGCCCTGTTTCCACAAACTGACTCACCTAAAGCCCCGTGCTGTGCTGGTGGATGGCCACAAATCAAGCACCAACCGGCCGGACAGTCCGCATATCCAAATGCGTCCTCACGGGTCACAAAAGCCCCACACAAGCAGTCCAGGGACGCGCAGGAGCCGCGAGTGGTGCCGCCGAGGTCGGTGTTCGTTAGGCCTGGCCTGACTGACATTGTACAGGCTGCCCTGTCAGAGGAGTGTCTGTATGGATATACCGAGGTCAGAATAACAAAAGCGAATCCAAGGATTATGCCGCTTCGTACTCACCTTCCTTGAAAAAGTTATGCCCGCCGCAGCGGTCCCCGGTCTCCAAAAATTATAGCAAACAAACGTCCCCTTCTCGGAGAGTTTCGCTTCCCGGCACCCGTGTTATTTTCTTTATTTTATTTTTTGCTTCCATGGCTGCTCTTTGTTCGTAGACGACTTTTCGCGAAAAGCTAGATTTAGCGGCATTACATTTTGCAGGTCTTCGTGGTCCGCATGAGGAACAATGCGAAAGCATGGGTATAACGATTCGCGAGTGAAGCGCTTCGTTACCCATGAAGCTCTCGTTTTTCACGTGTTACTCATGAGGCAGCTATCTATGCCAGTGCTTCGGAAATAAATCACAAAAAGAGGTTTGATTTTGTTACTCATTACCATGAGTAACAGTGTGCGCATCAGTAACAACATGAGTAACCTGATTTAGAGTGTAGCGGCGAACGCCCGGGGGTTCCAACTTCGATCAGAAATGCATGCGGAACGTGAGAAAATCGCTGTTTCTTCAATATTGTGGGGATGTACGGAACGTCAACAGTTTTTGACATAATAAAGGAACATTTTAGAATAATTTGCGCTAAGTTGCGTGCTATGTAAGGGCGTAATTTTTTTTAAAAGTTGCCCGAGCGGCATCACGGAGCAGACGACGCGGCGACGTCACGGAGACGTCTCACCGTCCACGTGACCCGCTCCGGCCAACCCAAGAAGTCCATCTCCGCTGCGTACAAAAATCGTCTGCTTCAAACGCCATTCCTTGGAAATTGCCTTCCCAAAATTTTCACACGCATCCGATAGTATGAAGACTTTGATAAAGTGTTTAGTGTTTCACCAACTCCACGACAGACTAGTTTTGAAAAGTGTGAACTTGGCGCTTATTTTTTAATCAGCCGTGTTGTTGAGTCGATCTCTTTGTATTCTCCCATAGGGCGGGCCGCCTCCTGGAACCCTGAGTACCACGTGACTCGTGGAACTCAGGGTTCCGCCAACAACATGACTCTGTCGGCCATGTTGTCGGCGAAACACGCGGATCAAAAGATTGCGCTACTCTGCTCCGTAAGAGCTATATAGTGCTCTAATGTACACGTGTCACACTCTACGAAGTTAAACGCCCTCAAATCAGCCGAGACATGTAATTGTTTCGTGTTTTTTGTGCACAGAACAGTGTGTGCAAGCACTACATTGCTTCGTCAAATGCGCGTCGTCGTCGTGAGTGTTCGAGCTGGCCAAAGCGAAACTACGTTACGCCTGTCGGACGTAGTTGAACGTACAGTGTGAAGAACTGTGCCACTCGTACTCGATCGTGCGCCCGAGAAATCGAGCGGTGCGTTTTCGACGACGAGTAGAGATATCGTGACTGGGACAAAGCCGTTGCAATGTGTACGATTGCGCCGCTCGTTCTCGGCGAAAAAATACGAGCAGCGTGGTTTCGACGAGGAGTGGAGATATTGTGATTGGGACGACGTCGACCTACCACGGCGATCCCGCGAATGATATTCACGTGGATACAGCGGCAGACGCCGGCGTCAAAGGGCCACTTTAGATTGTAGAACCCAGGCGACGAAGAAAACTAGTTTCTTGTCCGACTTGTTACAATCACGTGACACTCCTGGGGACATAGCCCATTTGTTTGAACTGTTCGGTTTGGGCAAGTTTGTGTTTGACGGCATGGGCGAGTTATAAAGTCGGCTAGTTTCATGCTATGTTTTACGTCTTTCTTTAATCGTGTCACCAACGGACCGTTTATTGCATGCTAAAAAGAAAAGTCTGGGTATCAAACTTCAAAATTGACGCTTCTGAAATTGACCTTTCCATGTGAAAAGATTTGAAGTGTTCCGCTGATGTATAGTATCAAAATTTACGTTTGTTTTCTATTCTTTTTTGTTTAGTTCGTCTGTGGGTTTTTGCTGGAGTATGTTAAGGACTCACATAAACCACCTGATTCCAAGCTCGTATGCAACCGAAAATAACGTCAGTAAAAATTCTGCTCTAAGATTGAAAGAAAAAAGAAAAAGATAAACGCTCTTCATTTATTTATTAAATATTTTATGCAGTACCAAGTTGGTCTCTGTCAGTGGTGGCTAAAATATAAAGTTGTCTTTAGGCAAATATTAAATAATATTTCAATCGATCCTCTATTTGCGTAAGAGCTCAAGCGTGATTCGCTCGATCAAGTTTCTTCGCTGTCCCAAAGAGTCAGCTGTGTGCTTCTTTGATTTCAAAATAGTGTTGAGCATAAAATGGACGCGCGCGTGACAGGCACTTTTCGCGTTCGACGTCCGCGGAGTCGTTGCTCGTTGCATCTTTTATTTCCCGGAGATCTGCTACAGCAAAGTTGCCAATGCAGTCAATTCCAAAACATTAGAGCACTTCATGAGGCCAGTCGACACGGACAGCATTACAAAAGACAGGTTTAATCGAGGAGCACAAGAAACAGCGGTGACGTTGCCCTTTAAGACTATGCAAACAAAACCCAGACCGGAAGTATTCTCGGTTCCCTATCATGGCGGCCGGAAGTGGCCCGAAGCGACGAGAAGGGGCGAATGGTTCTTCCAGCTCCCTGTGGAACCTTTCTGAGGGTTGTTTACAAACGCTGCCGAACAGCAAAGTAGCGATACTATTTTTACTGTATTGAATGCGAGGATCCCGGAGTAGCGGTGGTAACATGAATGCTTGGGTATCGAACTATATAATGCAAATAGATGTAGTGAACAAGTGTTGAAGCTAGACACGTGTAGACGTTTTGACCAATTAGAAGTACTGAGACGTTTCTGTCTGCTTGTTATTGTGAATGTCCAAGTGTTGGGTATCTGGGGCGACTTTAAACCGTTTATTATAAAACGACTGTCTAGCATTCCAACAAACAAATTATTGGAGAAACCGAAAAAAAACGGTTTTTAGGAATGTGTAATTGGCAGACAAAACCGCAAAAATTAAAACCGTAAAAAAAGAAAAAAAAAAACAAAAAAAAAAAAAACGAAACGAAATCGCTTTTGACAGGAAACTGTAACCGTAACCGTGACCGAAACGTCATATTTTTTTCGGTTCAAGTCCGTGGTTTGAACAGCCTGGTTTTAATTCTAACCTCAGTATGCGTCAATTGCGACAAAGTCCATTGGGC